ATGTTCCACATTCCACCCTTTTAATGGTTGGATTGTGTTTAATGTTACCATTAAAGGCCTAGGCAACCTGTCTCCATCTCTCAAGAGCTTGGCCCTTGGTAGCTATCAGGTTGAATAGATTATATTGCTTTTATATTTGATTATGTGGCTATGTTGGACTTTAATCACTTGTTCAGCTGTATCAAAGTAAACAAAAATTCAAAAATTAGAGTTACTCTTCAGTAATATGATTCTCTTAAGTTCTTCCACAATTTATTACCTCTCTCCTTGCCTTAGTTTTATGGCACCAAACAAACATGCCAAAGCACCTGAAGTTAATTTAAATCCATTCCTCTTTTCCAACCCTAGATAGTCTGCAGCAATGGAATACTAGACAAAGAGTGAAAAAACCTGGCTTCTAGCCCTGTTGGTTCTGTTAATTCACTGCATGAATTTGAATATCACTCTGCCTCTCTGGATATCCTACAACATAATGAGTTTAGATGAGAAGATCTCCAAAGTAATTTCCAGTTACCACATTCTATGATTTTCTAGCAGAATCTCAATATCTTAGAGTTGAAAAGGACATTAAATGGCATCTTGTCAAACCTACCTACTGAATGAAAACCACACTTTCATTTAAGCCATATAATCTTTATTAAGAATATTTATGAAAAATTTTAAAGGACAGACAAAAGATTGATGTTTGTAGACAATTAAATGCCATACATGCTGGTAGAAATCCACAACTATAAATTAATAGTTCTATTGTATTTGAGAATAACTCCGAGAATAAATAAAAAGTATGTTTCTCTGGCCAAGAACATATTGGTCTGCCTCAGAAGAGTGTGCTGAGGGGAATGTCCAACTTCCTTTAGATATAACATTCTGTAAAATAAGTCGAGTACCATGTAACACTTCTCAGACACTGTAATGCACACACACAAAACTTTAAGCTCTGGAATACTCAAAATCATGACATTATGACCATAATAATGATCCTATGTGGAATATGGAAATAATCTCTTGCCAAGTTTCTCTGTTTATAATGATAAATAGATTCTCTTAGAATGTGATAATAAAAGGATTCACATGTGACAACATTTCGTCTCTGAATCTATTTCTAAATAATTGCACTTCTTGAAATAATCCTTGGTCATCGACAATTCAATTAAATCTGACTTTGATTCAAAGAGTCAAAAAGAAAAAAATAAAAAATCAAGAAAAGTTAGTTGATTACACAGTGTCTATGTAGCCTTTAATGATGAGTAATTTTTAAAAAAGAATGAACCATAGTATCTCAACCATCTAAGCATTAACTCCCATATTTTCCACCCCTTTGTTCATATGTCATGGATGTGAAAGTGTCATGGCTTATTATAGTAATTATACAGTTGCTTTTGTTGCTTTCCCCAGATGCACTTACTTTGGCCTACTTCTGAGGTTAGCATTTGGTGAAGTTATTTTTCTGCCTTTGTGTGATTCAAAAATGTGAAGTTTTTTGAGTTCTTCCACTTCTACCATGGGTACCTGAAGTTGTGATGATATGCCATTGAGATGGTGCTAAATAATTTTTTATGATAATGATGACCAGAGGATTGATGACATTGATGGCAAGCAGCCTGACTAGAGTTCAACCAGTAAAAATGAATGTATGTTTGATGTCACAGACATAGTATGTATTCTGCAGACTGTCACCCTAGCTCCATTTTTTTTTTTTTTTTTTTTTTGTGGTACGCGGGCCTCTCACTGTTGTGGCCTCTCCCGTTGCAGAGCACAGACTCCAGACGCACAGGCTCAGCGGCCATGGCTCACAGGCCCAGCCCACGGCATGTGGGATCTTCCCGTACCGGGGCACGAACTCGTGTCCCCTGCATCGGCAGGCGGACTCTCAACCACTGCGCCACCAGGGAAGCCCCCTAGCTCCATTTTATTCATTCATTCATTCATTCAATTAACTTTTATTGAGTCTATTACTTTCAAGATTCTGTTAGATAAGATTCCATCATATTTTTGGAAAATATGACAATGGTAAACAAACAGACAAAACAGTACTAATTAAACAAAATAATTTAAATGAAACATTAAAAATAGAGACTTTGTAATTAACAGAATATAAATATATATAATGCTGGCATTGGGCTTCCCTGGTGGTGCAGTGGTTGAGAGTCCACCTGCCGATGCAGGGGACACGGGTTCGTACCCCGGTCCGGGAAGATCCCACATGTCGCAGAGCGGCTAGGCCCATGAGCCATGGCCGCTGAGCCCACGCATCTACATAATGCTGGCATTGGGTAGGGAATGATCAACTCTATTGATTTTGGAGTCTATTTAAAAGAAGTGAGAGAAGAGGTAGCATTTCCATGGGTTTTGAAGGTTAAGGGAGATGTGGCATTAATTCTAGAAGCACTAGACCATATAAGAGCTCAGATCTACACCATGTGTTCAAGGAAATGGGAGTAGTTAGCATTGATGGAGTGCATGTTGGTGGAGTGTATGTATGTGGGGAGTGGTGAGAAGGGGACCTAGGAGAGGGCAGAGGTGGGCTGCAAATGACCTTTAACACTGTATTAGAGAGGCTTTATTGGGAAAGGTGTTGTTTCAGGTTTTAAATGAGTGTCTCATTTAGGAAAACATTACTTACAAGTAACAGAAATTGTAATTCAAAATGGCTTAAATCAGGGGTCCACAATCTTTTTGGTACCAGGGACTGGTTTTGTGGAAGACAATTTTTCCATGGACTGGGGAGGGGGAATGGTTCAGGTGGTGCTACAACTGACTGATGGGGACCAATGGGGATCGGCAGATGAAGCTTCACTTGCTAACCCACCGCTCACCTCCTACTCTGAGGCCCGATTCCTAACAGGCAATGGACCACTACTGGTCCACAGCTCAGGGGTTGGGGACCCCTGGCTTAAATAATAACATCTATAGTCTCATGTTTACCAAAGTCCAGAAATAAGATGGTCTGGGCTCTGTTCCTCAGCCTTTCTCTTGGTTTTACCTTCTTTCATGTGATGGTTTAATTTTCAGGCCACATGCAAAATGGATGCAGCATTCCACGTATGGTTTGACAAAATCCAGAGGAAGACATGGTTGCTTCAGAAAACTTCACAAGGCACTTCCCTGGTGGTTCAGTGGTTAAGAAACTGCCTGCCAATGCAGGGGACATGGATTCAATTCCTGGTCTGGGAAGATCCTACATGCTACGGAGCAACTAAGCCCGTGTGCCACAACTGCTGAGCCTGCATGCCACAACTACTGAAGCCCGTGTGTCTAGAGCCCATGCTCTCACAACAAGAGAAGAGAAGAGAAGCCACAACAAGAGAAGCCACTGCAATGAGAAGCCCACGCACTGCAACAAAGAGTAGCCTCCGCTTGCCGCAACTAGAGAAAGCCCGTGCACAGCAATGAAGACCCAACACAGCGAAAAAAATAAAGCATTTTAAAAAAACAAACTTATATATACTGCCAAATGTAAAATAGATAGCTAGTGGGAAGCAGCCGCATAGCACAGGGAGATCAACTTGGTGATTTGTGACCACCTAGAGGGGTGGGTTAGGGAGGGTGGGAGGGAGATGCAAGAGGGAAGAGATATGGGGATATATGTATATGTATAGCTGATTCACTTTGTTACAAAGCAGAAACTAAGACACCATTATAAAGCAGTTATACTCCAATAAAGATGTTAAAAAATAAAAATAAGAGAAAAAAGAAAAATAAAAACTCCACAAGAAGAACTTTACCATAAGCACTTCTCCAGATCACTCCTTTTTTCTCATTGGTTTAAGTCAGATCACATGCTCCATTCTGAACAATTCACTTTCAGTAGGGATTGGGTGCCAGATTCAATCCTGAAACCTGGGACATAGCCATGCTGATATAAAGAAATGATTGTGGGTAGTTAAGAAGAGATAAACAAGCAAAATTCAGTTCTTGTAGGAAGAGGAGAGAGGAGAAAAACAACTATGAGGGCAATGAACAATAGGCTACCCACATGCACTTACATATTTTCTTTCCACTTATGTATTTTCAAATGTAGATATATGCATTCCCCCAAGCAAGAAAACTGAGTAAACTATCTAGTTATCATATCCAAATATAAGCCTATGATATCAAGGAGTCCTCCCTCTCAGCTATTTCCTACTCATGATACTGCCATGTTTCCAGAAGTTCTCAGGAGACTTCTATGAAAACAGCTGGCCTTATGCTGATCAAATAGAAGAAAGAGAATGCCGCCTCAACATTAAAAACTGACTCAGAAATTGTATTCCTTTTATTATAATAAATGAATATGTGGTTAATTTCATCCATACTTAACATGTTTGTTTCTTTACACAGGTTACTGCAGTCAGTTAATATTGTAACGTCAGAATTCCATTAGAGCTTGCATAAGTCTGTAAAAGGGTCTTCTAAAAAGTATTTTGACAATTCCTTCATCTAAAACAGCCAAGCTAGTACTTGCTGAAGCATCACTGCTGTCTCTGGAACTTTTCTTCTTGGATCTGACCCATGATTAGTTTAACCAAAGTAAGATATCCTGATGAGGCTGAAATGACCACTCATAGAAGAGTTTAGGATAATCTCCTGCCCAAACTCTGATTCCACTTGCCAAAAATTCCAGGGAACTAACTCTGTATTGGCAGATAATTCTTCCAATCAGGGAATCTGCTCCATAAATTAAATACTTCTTTTTAGACAAATAACAGTAGATTTGGAATTCCCAACAGACATCTTTTAAAAAAATTAATAGTAAGATTTATGAACTGATATCAGATTAAATGAGTTTATTTGAAAGGAAAAGAGATCTCTTGTACTATTTTTAACTAGAGAAGTAAGGGGGAAAATAGAAGAAAACAGAATGGATACTCTCTGAGATAAATTATTTTAATATTAATAGGATTTTAAAAAATTATCATTTGTCTAGGTAGTAGAATATAGACTCCAGTCAGATAATAGCTGAGATTAACTTTGAGGGATATAACTGTGAAGTCACAGTCTAGAACCCTTAAGCTGGTTGATCAGCAGTAGAAGCCAGATATACAGGCTGGTTGGTAACAAGAAGTTTGGCGGATCCTAGAAGCCACGTATGCTGGGCGGCAAAATCTGGATCCATGGCTCAGGGAAGGGAAGCCACAGATTCCAGAGCCCAGGGGTCTGAAGCCACGGGATCCACAGCTTAGTGAGTAGCAACTTCTAGATCCATGGCCCAGGCAGTAGCCTCTGCTGGACCCACAGCTCAGAGATCCAGTGTGAGTTGACCAGCAAGGAGTGCAGGGCGGGGAGGTCCTTGGATGGTAGCAGAATATCTGGCAGGGATTGGACACCACACGGTACACCTGGCACCTGGTGGGCTCATCACAGGCCTCCTGACACCCACTGTAGAGAGAGGAGCCCAGCAGGCAGGTGCTAGGAGAGCAGAGATCAGTGCTGTAGACCAGGTCGCTGGGCTGGAAGGAGCCTGGGTAGCGCAGATAGCCTCCAGGGGAGTGGGAGGAGAAGTTTCCAAGGCAGCAGTTGTAGTACATGTTGACAGGAGATGTGAGTTCAGCTGAGTTACTGTGAGATGTTCTGATATCCTTGGCTTCTCCCAGCCGTGTCTATATATATATATATATATATCCTCAGTACACTGGATGTGATGCAGACCCTCCCTGTTCTTGTGCATGTCTTGTCATGAAAACAGTCAATTAACCTAGGCTATAATTATCACTGAACACATTCCTGTGTTTTCTTAACTGCTGTTCAATTATTCTGCTTTATAGAAGCCACTCTGCTTCTTTCTCTCTTTTTTCTCTTTTTTTTTTTTTTCAGAAATTAGGTGTGGTTTGCCTTCAAAGACGTTGGTCCTGATGCATAAAGATGGTGCCCTTGCTTCCTCACTGAGATTGACTGGCTTTGTGCCTGAGTGTGTAAATTGTGACTCCTAACAGTCATAAGTACCTCCCTCTCAGATATTTATATATGTTTTATGGAGCCTTTACTATGTGTAAAACATTGCAGATTGTGGCATCATTTAATCCTTGCAACCACTTTATGAGATAGAAATTATCACCCATTTAACAGCCCAGGTGTGACTACCTCCAAAGCCAGCAGGAAGAGCAATGCTGTGCTGAAGCTTAACCTTTCAGCTCCCAGAATCACGTGCACAATGAATACCAAGGTGAGAAAAACATTTCAATGTGATAACATTTGCATTCTGTCAGATGTGCCTACCTATACATTCTTACCTCTTTTATGGAAAACCAAACGCAGCCACCAGATTCCTAATGCTTTCGGTTATTTTTTTTCGCATTCAAAGTTACCATGGAGATGGTTATTTCAAGCTCTTCTTCTATTTGTCCTCTCATTTAGCTTATCATCATTAAGCAACTCATGTTTGATCCTGCATGGAGTTATTGAATTCCTTTTCCACGTGACACAGAGATTCTTTGGCAAACACGTAGACTATCACTGAGAATAATTGCTGAAAACTAGTATACCTTGAGTGAGTTGACTACCGATGAAATACATTTGCAACAACTTGAATTTTAATAGTGTGCTAACCTTTGCCAACTCAGTTGGGAGTGAGAAATGAGACACCTTAGAGAGTGATTCATTTCACTCCTTACTGAGCTTCTCTTTTGTTCATCGTTCTTGAAAGACAAAGCAGCAAAAAACGTACCTTCATATTAAGTAGTTAAAATTAACCTTATCACTATAAAAAAATCAATGATAGAAAAGTCTTAGAATTAGAAATGTCTTTTTTCTCACTTATTGTAGTATTCAACTTCTGCCTTAAAGCATCTTTTAGAAATTGGAAAGCAAAAACCTATTTATGTAATTTGATTTTTTCCATTTGCTTCCTGGTGATTCTTTAATCTTCTACAGCATTTGCTTATCTGGCACAATGGAATAGTCTGCCCATTGTCTTGCTTGCAAATTTCTACCAGATGTCTTGCTCGCTTCCCCAAATCCTTCTCATCCCTCAAAGCCAAAATCAAATTCCTCATGTCTGACAGGTGTTCATCTCAACTGTTTAAACTCTTCTGCAATAAGTGTCTTAGTGTCATATTAGCTATCCATTTGGGCGAATAAACATACACACACACACACACACACACACACACACACACGGAGGAATTGGAAGAGATGTCTTTTGAAATGGATTGTGCAGACTGAGTAAGATTTCAGTCGTTTGAACTTGCAGGACAGTCACATACATTGTAAGAGTGGAGTACCCAGAAGTTCCTCAGGATCAACAACAGGGTTTAATTTTCTTTGATCAAGCATCCGGCACACAGTGAGTGCTCCAAATTATTTATGAAATGAAGGAATATATCAAATCATTAACTTTTTATTTTTACATTCATCTAAAATAAGTGCATGCACACTAATTGTCTTTTAAAACTTACCTTTAATACATTGAGTATAAATATCTCTTTCATAATTAAATATAATCCCCAAATTAATCATAACCAGTTTAGTGCTTAAGGTGACCCTAGATCTCTGCCCCTCACCTCCAGGCCAAGCCAAGTTACCTTTGTGGCCTTGATCAATCATTCCTTTCTCTGTCCAACAGCTTCATCCCTATCCATTCTAATGGCTCTGTTTTCTCAGACTTACAGACATAGCTAACCATCTTCAACCCAAAAATCTTAGTGTCATTTCCTCCATGATTATATAGCTCTTCTTGTTTTTAAAGACAAAATTCTCTTTAATTTTGTGTGATCAGTTTGTCAACTATCTAAATTCTTATTGTCTTTTCAATAACCATGTTGTTTTTCTCTGGTTTAACACTCTTCTGAAATTTCACTGGTATGGTCAGCAGTGACCTTTATGCTTCTAAATGTGGACATTTTGGGGATGATCCTATGCAAATGTTTAACCACATTTATCACAGTTAACTGTGTCCCTGATCTTGAAATATGTTCATCTATGAACTTCTGTGACATCACACTCCTGATTTTCTATCTAACTTCCACCAAATTCAATTTACCATTAGTTGGCTTCCTGTTTTTTGAGGCTTACTGCTGATCTCACCACTTGTTTTCTCTGTAGGGGAGGTAGCTCCCATTCATGACTTGAAATACTGTTCATATTGTGTCATTCAAATGTATATTTCCAGTACACACCTCCTTTTATTAAAATTCTAGACCCAGATATCCAATTACTAGACATTTCCATTTAGAGATTTTATAAGACTGTCAAAATTGTATGTGTATAAAATTGAACTTTTATTCTTCCCTAGGGAGAAAAAAAAATATTTTTTCTCCTCTGAGTAAGCAGTATTTCGAACCACATAGTAGTTTAACTCAGAAACTTTGGAATTCTCTTAACACATGCAATCCACTCTAAATATGACCCATTCTATTTTCTAAACTTATCATAAATCTCCCCAGTCCTCTTACTGCCTTCCTTCCAGTCTAGGGTTTCTCAACCTTGTTATCATTGACATTTTGAACTGGGTATTACTTTGTTGGGAGTATCCTGTTCATTGTAAGATATTTGGCAGTGTCCCTGGCTCTATCCACTAGACGCCAGTAACACATCACACACACGCACACACACACACACACACACACACACAAATTATGCCAATTAACAATGTCTCCAAAACTTGCTTAAGTGCTAAAGCAGTTCTGGTGAAGAACCACTGTTCTAGTTCAAGGTAGTCTCCCTCCCTCCAAGGTAGTCTCTCTCCCTCCAAACTTTTGCTTGATCCACATATCCCTTTGGATGTTTCACAAAAACATTAAACCCAGCAGAGGCTCAGCTGCCCTCCTAAGCCATCTCCTGAATTAGAACAACTTCTAATTCTTTTGCACACTATTATAGTTACAGTAACCCATCTATGCAGTTCTTGGGATATATCCATGACCTCCCCTTTCTTCGCTTCCCATATCTGATCTTGGATAAGCATACTTTGTTATTTTTTTAATCTCCAAAAATGGTAAAATCCTTTGTTTTTCTATCTGGCCATAGCTCAATTATTTGTCTGTTATTATAGTTGGTCTCCAGAGCCTCTGGTCTTGCCTATCTCAACTCTATTTCCTATGCATTTCTCACAATGTTTTTTTTCTTTCTAAAGTCTATGTTGGTCTTTTCAAACTCGAATTCAATTTCCTAAGTCTTTAATACAAATCATCTTATGATCTGACCCCCAATTAGTTCATACTCAGTGTCTCTATGCCCTAATTTTATCTTCAAAAGATACTAGATTGCTTCAGCTTAAGACTGAAGACAAAGAAGTCAGTCAGGTAAGAGGATCTTTTTTCAAGAAGCTCAGCATTAGTGATGAGTCTTGGAAGAGAGAAGATAACAGGCGGGACCGGAGACAGACAGGAGCCAGATGACAAGGGGCTCTGGACATTCTTCAAAAGTCCAAACCACTTTGAAAATAAAAAACATCCTTTAGAACTAATTTGGTGGTGAAAGAAGGCATTCTCTGTTTTCTGGATAGAATGACATGATCAAACTAATGGAAACTGTGCATATACTTTTTTCTTCCTCTTCTTAGTGTGGATATATTGTGCCTCAGAAATAAACAAATATGTTTGATTATAGGTTTTTTTTTTCCCCAGGTACTACCTGGGTTATTATATTACATACAGTTTACGCATTCTATTATCATTCTAAAGTCTGAAAAAACTGGATTCCAAAACTCATCTGTCCCCATTGGCTTGGACAAGGGAATGGGGATCTGTAACAATGAGAAACCACTGATAGGTTATAAATATGGACATAATTAGATCAAATTTGCCTCCTACAGAGATGACTCTGTCTGCAGTTAGAAGAATGGATTGGAGGGTCACATAAGAGTATGAGTGGGCCCCCGGTTGGGTTCAGACCCTGGCAGTGTGATTTAATAGCCTATATTCTTAACTACAGTGCTTGACTGCCTCCCAATTCCATGAAAATTTATTCAATAACAACATTTCTGTCACATTGTAGGAGAACAAGAAGATATGAAATAACCTCATGATTTCTTTTATGTGTAACTTCTTTTAATATCTAACATATAAAACTCTAAGGTGGTTTCCCAAGTTTGACTACTCTGATTGTGTAATGATGACAGAACATGTATCTCTGAGAGAAACTAGGTAGTTGGTGGTCAGTCCATCCTGAAGTGGGGATTGTGGTAAATGAATAAAATAGAAAACAGAATTTCATGTAGAAGCGTGAAGAGGCATTAAGCTGCTTTACAGAAGCCAGGCTTCTAGGCTAGTCTGTATTAAGTTGGCAGGACATCGCTGGTAAGAAAGTAGTTTGCATGGCAGAACCTGGGAAGATAATTCAGGTTTTGGGAATCAGAGGATTGACAATTTAAAGACTGGGAGCCATTGAATTCATAGTGTCTGGAAAAACAGATCATTTCTGGCTGCTGATGGGCTTCTAGCAGCTCTCTTGAGAGTCATTAGAGAGAAACTTTTCTTGGAGGAGATTGGGAGAACAGAGGTCAGTGAGTAGACAAAGTGGCTGAGGTAAGACAGGCCACAGGAAAAGACTGGCTAGACCAGGAATTCTCTAAGAGAAAAGGAAGAGAAGT